AGATTTGGTGATAAGTTGATTCTATACCAAAGGAAATATTGAAGTTGCTGGTAAAGAATTCAGATATCTTTTCAAAGGATTTACCACTAAGGCTACTTCATATCCATGAGGTTGATAATCAAATTGAGGTTGTTCTGGGTTCTAAACCATCCATGAAGGCTTTATATCATTTAAACATTAAAGAGATGGCTAAACTCAAGAAGCAATTTAGGAGCTTCTTAACAAATATCATATGTGACCAAGTAAGTTGAGCATTGGTCTTTTTTATTATGAAAAAGGATGGTACCACAAGGATGTGGTATGATTTATAGAAAGTATATACCAGACCAAGAACTAAAGAAAAGGTATATAAAAAAAAATATACCTCTTTTTTTAATCAATTAAAGGTCTTAGGATATTTAGGGTTAAATGTCCTTAGATTTGAGTGAGCTTCCAAGAAGTCTAGATCTTACAACAAGCATTAAAAAACATTAGTCATTATTAAATATTATTAATCACTCACTAATAGATATGTGTAATCAAGAATATGTTATAATATACTCAAATCTAAGGACATTTAACCCTAAATATCCCCAAGACCTTTAATTGATAAAAAAAGGGTGCATTTTTGTTTATATACCTTTTCCCTAGTTCTTGGTATGATATATACCTTCTATAAACTCAATACCACATATGGAGAAAGAGATCAAGACTTTTACATTTTTGAAAAAGCATTGGTTAAAGACTTTGGCATCTTGATGACAATTTTCACAATTTATGGTACTTAACCAATTCTTTCTCAAAAGTGCATAAGCCTTATTCTCCTTCTCTATATGTGGTATTGAGTTGATGGAAGGCAAGAGATTCATGTTTGCTTTTTCAGAATTGGTTAACATCAAAATATTGATAGGACTCTCTATCACAGAATTAAGATCTAAACAAGGTTACATATTCAAACTAACTAACTAATATAATGGTTTTTATCTAAGATTATAAGGTCAAATTTAATTTAAATAATTTGTTGTTACATGCATGTTATATGTAGCAATGTCTGGTTTACTTAATAATAGTGTCATTTCTATTTAGTATTATTGAATAATCCAATTGATCAATAATTACTAAATTTTTTATAATTTTTATATCAAGATTAGCATATCAATAATTAGATAGTAGGAATAAGAAGTTCTTAGGAAAGTTTATAAATTATAAATACAATATTAATCTAAATGAATAGCAACCGTTACATGGTAGAATAAGAATATCCAGGGATATTCTAGGTATGTCCACTACCACCCTAGTCCTCTACAGGTTTTCTTAAGAAAACAAAAAATAATGTCGAAAAGGAACTCATATTTATAAATTATAAATTTAAAATGATCTACTTTTTGACATTATCAATAACATTTATTTTTATTATTTATAAAATTTGTCCATTTTGATCGTTGCTATTGCAGCATTGCTTATTATGAATCACATAAAAAATATTCGAAACATAAAATGTAACTAATTCCTTTCATATTCGAAACATAAAATATAACTAATTCCTTTCATATTTTTATGTTTATGTTTTTTAATCATATATAACCATATTTTAGAGTATAACTACATAGTAATATAATCACTTACAATGAATTTAACATTAATAGTATTATTAATACTATTTTGTACTACTAATGGTAAAATAGCTGTAAATGTTTTTAATAGAGTGGGTTCAAAATTAGAATTACATTGTGCATCAGCAGATGATGATATGGGTATAAAAAATCTTAATGATCGTCAAGGATTTCCATTTGAATTTAATGAGAAATGGTTTGGAACAACAGAATTTTGGTGCACTGCAAAATTAGAAAATATAAAAAATACTACTTTTACAGTATATAAGGCAGGTAATTCTGATTATGGAGGACAACCTAACATTGAATGGTATATATTTTCATATGCAATTTTTATGACTCATAGACAGGCATTATATCCAAATGAATGGAGTATACCTATGAGATATTATATGTGGTAATAAAATATTTAACTATTACTAAATAAATGTAATTAAAAATATATAATATAAATTTTTTATTTTATTAAATTAGAAATTAATTTTAAAATAATTTTTAATGTTATATTATATTATTTTTCTAGATAATTGTGTTTTTTATTTAAATTTTTATGATTAAAACATCTATATACTAATAGTTTTAATCTAAATATATTTATATACAAAATTAATTTGCTGTGCTACATTTCTAATTAATCTGAAGAAAATGTAATTGGTGTCAACGCTCCATAATATGGTGGGAAAGCAATTGAAAGATAGAATGTAAGTGATGACATATTTAAAACTATTTTTCAAGCATTTTATTCTCCCCCATCTGCATGAGAAGAAACATTGTCATTCCTGTTATGGCTCTTTGTTTCATCGGTCTCCAGATGCTTCCTCCATTTGCTCTCTGCTCATCCAAACTACTCCCTGTTTCAGACTTAGTGCCGGAGTTGTTCCATGTTCCCGAAGAAATTCATAAGAAACTTTCACCTCCTCCAGACTGGCATCCATTAGTTTTCTCTCCCATGTAGACGATCCCAGAGCTTGGTAGAGAACTTGTAGATTTCAAGGAAATCGACGTAGCATGACACTTCAGACACCATCATATTATTTATAAACATGATGGTGATGGGAAAGCAATTGATATGATGCTTTGTAGACTTCCATAAAGCCTTGACACAGTCTAGTGATGGCCATAGCAAACACAATTTACATCATTTGCCTTCACGGTTGAGAGACTGGGGAATTCTACGTATGCTCCCCAGGTGTAAACATCTTTCTATCTATCTATAAAAGTCGCAACAAGTTTACTGATCTTTTGCCAGGCGCTATACCATGGGTTGGCTGAATTCCGCAGAATTCATTTCGAATGGAATAATTTCTACTAGACTATGAGAACTGGTACCCTGTGCGTGGAAGCGATCAAGAAATCCACTCAAAGCTGAGACAAGGTCGCTGAATTCACTAAAATGCTCAAATAAAACCTTCATTATACTAAGCTTCTAAAACATACTTATTTATCAACTATATAGAAAACAATCATTGATATATTTGTAATAACCATACAAATATAGTTAACAGAGAAACATGGCCTGAAAGTGAATGTTGGCAAGAAACACAAACGATCCCACAGCCCACCCCCAGCAACAGAGATGAGACCACTTCTCGTAAATCAGGGACAAAAGGCATTTGCTTTAGAAGCTCTGTGGCATCGACCAAGTGGGCTCCTCTTCCCAACATGTCAATCATGCAGCCATAGTGATCCTTGTTGGGTTTCATGCTGTGGTCACTACTGATCGCACAAAAGAGCCTCCACCCAGAAGATAAGTCCCCAGTATGACTGGATCCAATAAGAGCACACAAGAAACATGCCTCGTCAGGAACACACCCTTGGAGTTCCAAATATCGAAAGAGATCAAGAGCATCTTCAGGATGCCCAGAGCGGGTATATGCCGCCATCATGGAGCTCCATGAGACCAAGCTTAAGTGAGGCATAGCATTAAAAACCTTGCGAGCTCTTTTGAGATGTCCATTCTGGGCGTAGGCGGAAATCATTGAGTTCCAAGAGGAAGTGTCCCGATATGGAATCTCGCTAAAGAGAATCTCAGCACATTTAAGCCTTTTTGTACTTGCTAGAACGGATAACATCATGCTAGAAGAAGCCAAGCTCCTGAATGGCATCATGTAGAACATTGACTCGGCTTGATCAAAATGCCCAGCTTCGGCATATGCGGAAAGCATTGTGTTCCAAGCTAGAAAATTCTTCTCCGGGGTTTCATCAATTACGTGCTTTGCTCTCTCAATATTTTTGGTCTTTGCGAATCCCGTGATCATCAGATTACATGACACGAGATCGTGAAGCAGCATTAGAGTGAAGAAGAGTCTCTCAAGATCTTCCAAATCAGCAGAACACTTAAGTGCTTCCACACTGACCAAGAGCATCGAATTCCAGGAAATCTGATCACGCTGTGGCATGCTATCGAAGATCTTCTTTGCTCCTTCAATCGAGCCTCCGGACTGTGCGTGCGCTGCGAGCATGATGTTCCACGACAAGAGGTTGCAGAGCTTCATGGATGAAAAGATCTCTCTGGCCCGCTCCAGATCCCCGTGTTGGGCATAAGAGGCGAGCATCGCGTTGTAACTCGCGAGGCCGCGCTCTGGCATGGAATCGAAGGTGCGTCGCGATTCTTGGAGCTGCCCGTGCTGTGCGAAAGCGATCACCATCGCGTTCCAGGAGATCGCATCCCTCTCCGGCATTCGATCGAAAGCGCGCTGGGATTCCTGGAAGTGGCCATTCTGAGAGTAGCACGAGATTAGAGCGTTCCAGGACGAGATGGATCGCTCTGGCATGGCATCAAATAGTGCCTTGGCCTCTTCCACATGACCGTGATCTGCCAGAGCCGAGAGCATCGCGTTCCAGCAAATGAGATCCTTGTGCGGCATTCTCTTCGCAAAGATCTCTCTCGAGATGGCAAGATGCCCTTGCTGGGCATATACAACGAGCATAGCAGTGGAGGAAACGGCATCGTGCTCTGGCATGGCGCCAAAGATTATCCTCGATTTCTCCAGCTTTCCAGCTCGAGAAAACGCATCTAGCACTGCATTCCAGGAGATGATGCTCCAAACCGGCATGGTCTCAAAGATCTCCAAAGCATCTTCTGGAAGCCCGTTCCTGGCAAATGCTGTAAGCATTGCAGTCCACGAGAAAAGATTAGGATCTGGCATCGCATTGAAAACCTCTTTAGCCATCTGGAACTCGTTGTTGCGCAAATACCCACTCAGCATCGAGTTCCAAGAGATCGAGTTCCACCCAGGCATGGACTGGAAGAGCTCTGCCGCCTCTACTAGATGCCCGTTTTTGGCAAATACGGCAATCATCGAGTTCCATGAAACAAGATCCCTCTCTGGCATTGCATCGAAAGTTCCTTTTGCCCTGACAACGTCCCTGGCACGGATGTAGGCGGCAAGTTTTGTGCTCAAAGAGAGAGGCCGCTGATCTAGGCCTACAAGATCGTAGTTGTGGAGTTGGATCGTTGCACAGCTGTGAGTAACCATCTAAGCGAGCATCCGCAGATGAAGGCATTGTTCTTGGCAACAATTGCCAAGAACTTTGTGAGCAATTTGCAAACAGGTCCCACTTCTCATACATAGCCTTGTCAGGTGCATCCTCTTCCTGAGTGAGTATATTATGGTTCCAATACATCCAGTCGGGGGATTCATTTCTCGCCGGATGGATGCATACTGGTGAGCACAATCTTCACAGAATGGTGTTACCCAGTGACCATAGCATTGACTTGTCAATCTTAAATTAATTTCAGCAAGAATCTTACCCTTATTTTCTATACTTCTTATTCATTTAGAATTTTTTTATAAATTATAGTTTATAAACTCATATTGATAAGGGCAGTGGGAGTGACGATCCCGCCAACTCACACATTTGTTTTGAATCAACTCATAAAGTGATGGACTGTCCGCTAAACATTGGAAGACAGCCTGCCATAAGTAGAGAGCTCAGTTTTCTCAAGGAACTAAGGAGGCAAAAGCTGAAGTGCTACTCTTCTCCTCGTTCTTCACAAAATTGATGGGTGCCATGGTGGATTGTTGTTGCTATTGCCTTGTTTCTAGTATGGATAAGGAATGTTTTTATAGCAATCAATCCTAGCTCTTCGGCAGATCCTTCTTTTGTGGGCAATTATCACAGCTTTCATCATTATATGGTTCATATGATTCCTTTTGTTTAGCAAATCTAAATTAGTTAGTTTAGCTTTAAAATAATGCTCTTCTTAGTTTTTATATATATATTTAATATGTCTTTTACTTATAATTCAATATACAAATGAAACAAATTAGGATATGCATTTGTTTCAATTGATTTTTGGTGGGTTGTGTATGATTTTGTTAAAAAATTGTATAAATTTACTCTAATGCCTCCATTGCTGACTTATTAAGTAAACAATAATTTCCAAAGCATTTTAAACAATCAAAGAAATTATAAATCTATGTAGTTAAGATATATACTGTGTGTGCACTTTTTGATTATAGAAAATGTTATGGAACATAATAAAGAATGTGACCAATAACTTTTATTAACTCTTTAAAAGTCCATTCAACATGACTGTAAATAAAGATTAATTAAACAATCTTTATACAGAAGAATTGAGACAACAAAGTGGTAATGATTGTGTGCTAGTTGACAATCAAATGCATTGACTTTACTGGGTAATAATACCATTTGATTAGTTTAAAGTTTTAGGCTTATTATTTTAGCTTGTGAATAATTTAGAAATTGCAACTTTAAAAGTTCTTTGTGGAGAAAAAGTCAAAGAGTTGCTTTCTTCATTTATAGTAGGACCCAAGACTAGACAAAACAATTTAGCTTCAGCAATTTAGCTAACAGGAACTGTGCTTTAATGCCGCCAAAATTTTGAATTTCAACACTACCTTAACAGAGAAGAAGATTAGGGTTTTTGGTGAGAGAGGATCCAAGAAATAGGGGATTTGGATCTAGACTTCGAGCGGCAGCTCCAGAGATCCCACAGCGACGATGCCTTGGCGGCGCTCCTCCGGCAGTGCTCGCGAGATCGGTCGCTCCCGCGGGCCAGGAAGGTACACGCTTGCATTCTCGCCAGGAACCGCGGCCTGGGCATCAGCACCTATCTCGGCAATCTCCTCGTGGAGACGTATTCCAAGTGTGGATCCATTAGCAACGCCAGGCGCGTCTTCGACGCCATCGCGTGCAAGAACGTCTACTCGTGGACGCTGCTCATCGCGGCATTTGCCCAGGCCGGGGATTCCAGGGAGGCGATCCAGGCGCTGTGGAGAATGGATTGCCTTGGCGAGCGGCCCAACGCGATCACATTCTTGAACCTCATCGTCGCCTGTGGATCATCAGGGGATCTCAAAAGGGGGAGGATCCTCCACGACAGGATCGTCTCTTGCGGCTTCGATCACCAGCTCGCCAATCTCGGCAACGCGATCGTTCACATGTATGGAAGATCCGGCTCCATCGCCGAGGCCCGGCGAGCGTTCCTGGCCATCCCGTCCAGGCTCAAGAGCGTCGCTTCCTTCAACTCGATGCTCCGGGCGTACGTTCTCGCGGGACTCCAGTGCGAAGCCATCGATCTCTTCGACCAGATGCCCAACGATCCAGCGCCTAACGCCGTGAGCTTCACGACCGCGATCGGGGCTTGCTCGGCGCTCGGCTGGATCGAGAAAGGAGCAGCGATCCACGCGAGGCTCGCTGGAACCGGGCTGGAAACCGACGTGGGTCTGGCCACCGCGCTCGTCAACATGTATGGCAAACGCGGGCTCTTCGATATGGCCACCAAAGTCTTCGAATCCATGACTGCCAAGACGGTGGTCACCTGGAGCGCTCTCATCGCAGCGTATGCCCAGCACGGGCATGCCGAGGAGGCATTTGATCTGTACAGGAGGATGATGAGAGAGGGATCCAAGCCAAACGAAGTTACCTTCTTGAGCGTGCTCAGTGCTTGCTCCACGATGCGGTGGCTGGAGCGCGGCCGGGAGATCCACTCCGAGATCGTCAACTTGGGCTTGGACAGATCGCTGGTCCTGATGAACACCGTGCTCACCATGTATATCAAGTGCCGGAGCTTGGACGAAGCTGGAGAGTTCTTCGCGGCTATGGCTTCCAGGGACTTGAAGTCGTGGATGTTCATCATCGCGGCGAATGCCCAGCAAGGCCGTCCCGAGAGAGCGCTGGCGCTGTTTCGGTCGCTGCTAGAGGAGAGGGATCCCACTCTCCAGCCGGACGAAGTGATCTTTGCCAGCGTTCTCAATGCCTGCTCCACGAAGAAGTGGTCGGATGATGGAAGAGCTATCCACCGGATCATCCCTCCTCGGCTGGAAGCTACTGCTGTGATCGGCACTGCTCTTGTCGACTTCTACAGCAACTGTGGAGATCTCGCGAATGCCAAGGCTGCCTTTGCCAGGATCGTTGCCAAGGACGTCGCTGCCTGGAACGCCATCATCGGTGCTTGCATCCAGCACAGGCTCTACGAGGAAGCTCTCGAGATCTTTTACCGGATGAACGTAGAAGGCTGCTCGCTGCCAAACCATCGCACATTCGTGGCTCTGCTCGAGGCATGTACCGAGTCGCCGTCGCTGGGAGCTGCCGGGAGGAAGCTCTACGAGCGAATAGTCGCCAGTGGCTACGAGCTCGGCCTCGTCCTTGGAACTGGGATCATCAACATGTTTGCAAAGTTGGGCAGCCTCGATCGAGCTCGGGACGTCTTCGCGAGGATGCCGATCAAGGACCTGGTTTCCTGGACCGCCATCATCGCCGCTCACACTCGCAGTGGAGCTCGAGTCGAGGCCAGAGAGCTGTACTGGATGATGGCACTCCAGGGCCTGGAGCCTGACGAGGTGACGTATATCAGCATTCTCTCCTCGTGTGCTCACGCAGGGATGGTGGACGAGGCCTGGAGCTACTTTGTGTCGATGAGCGAGGACTTTGGAGTCGAGCCGCGGGAGGAGCACTACGTCTGCGTGATTGATCTGCTGGGACGAGCTGGACGGCTGCGGGACGCCGAGGAGCTCGTGATGAAAACGTCCAAGCTGCTGGGGGCAGTGGGATGGACAAGTGTTCTGGGCGCCTGTCGGACTCACGGGGATTTGCATCGAGCCAACCAAGTTGTGGACGAGGCTGTCAAGCTCGAGCCAGAAAACTCTGGAGCGTATCTCCTGCTTGCGCATACTTCTTATAATAACCATTGAAAGCTGCAATGTACACACTGAGATTGTTGAGAAGCAAGTAAATTAACACGCTGCATAAAAAATCTGTGATACTTTACTGGTCGTAACAAGAACCTGGATACGGCGGAGACACCCGGCCAAGCTCATCTACTGGAGCTGCAGGGATCCCTCGCTGTTGTAGCAAACACCTGAAAGTTTTGAGCCTCGAATGGACTTGCGAAGTTCCTTGGTCCGTGAAGCTCCTCGGAGACCACAAGCGTTCTAGAAAAACTCAAATGTGAGTGAGAAACACGGCCGAGACCCGGACTCACCGGCTGCAGCTGCTGCTCGAGGCCAGATTGTTTGATGTATGTCGCTTGGATCCACAGTTTCGCCCCACATGCAAACTTCTCCTCCAATTATCAAACTCTGCTCATGCTCTCCCGTTATGTTTGTGAGTGGCTCGTTCTTGTAAAAGCTTTGCCATGGTACGTCGAGATGATCCAGATACCACACGTCTTGATCACTCACGATGCACTTGAAACCTGCTCCTACAACGAGTGGCGCCAGACCAGGTCCTATCCTGAAAAGTAAGTTCCAGGAATGTGAGTATCCTAAGAAAACGTAAGGATAAAGCTTAGACCAGTTGTGAATGATCGTCTCGTTATTGAGTTTGCTACCAAAGTTATTGAAAGTCTCTTCCCTGCATTGGCATTGTTATTGTCAGCTTTATAAAGTTCAGAAAGTCTTTTAGAATTTACCAATTCACGGGAGTAAGCCCGTACTTCAGGGCAATCTTTTGCGCTCGTAGAACAAAGTATTCGTAGCCTTGCTTGGCGGTGAAATTGTTATGAGCAAGCCTGCATGTTAGAATAAGCCGAAAGTTGATCCCGAAACTTGACTACATACCATCTGGCTATATGTCGCGTCTTCTTCCAGCAGGCTGAACATCAAACGTGAGAAACTTGAAGTATTTCTGTGGCTTACTTGTATCGACTTCGTCACCACCAAGGTGCATGAATTTGAAAGGAAAGGTCTTTGCAAAATCTACAGGAAAACAGAGTCAATGCTTTGCTGCCTCCGGAAGTTTATCACTACTTGCCCGAAATGATCCCTTCGATGACCTCAAAAGTGAACTCACTGCTTACATCCAAAGGTTGCGTACAGTTCCCGGAGGGCCACAGTTCCGGATAGCCTACGCCCCTGTTGATCCGGCACAATTGAAGCAATCTATCTTATTGATAACGCAAAAGAGAATCAGACCAGGATGCAGCATGGCCGGGAACATCAAGCTCTGGCATCACATTGATTCCTCTTAGCCTCGCGTATCTGACAATTCAAAATTCCAAAATTTGTTTGGCACGTGAAAGGGACAAAAATTGTGGACTTACTCGACAATACCCTTGGCATCTTCTAGAGTGTAGCGCTCGGCTCCAGTATACGCTCCATTCCAAAGCTTAGGAAAGGAAGGAATCTCCAAAGGAAACGATTGGGTGTCGACAATATGCCAGTGCAAAACATTCTAGAAACACGTAAAAAAATCCGTCAACACCAACAGTATGATGGAAGTTTTAAGTATTCACCAGCTTGGCGTAGGCCATGGAATCAATGACGCTCCGGACAATCTTGAGGGGCTCATAGTGCCTCGAAGTGTCTGTGATAAAAAAAAAAAAGTTTACAATGAGTGAAGAGACAGACACATGAAGAAAGCTAGGAAGAAATCATCGTACCAATCAAGAGACCTCGATACTCAAATCTCGGCCGATCGACGATGTCCACTGGGATGTATCGCACTTCCGTCATCTTCGTCGTGAAATTGAAGGCGCAGATCTGGCTAAACGTCTGAGAGAGCACCAAGAACACGAAAATTTCACTCCAGAGACTATCAATGTCCGTACATTACCTCCAATCCGTGTAGGGCTCCATACACAGTCTCTGCCTGAAAGAGAATCCCAGGAAAGAACGATCAAATTTCCGTCAAGAAGGAGCAGCGCTGGGATTTACCGTGAGCAATGCGGCAGTAGCATCGTCGGGATCCGGGATTTGGAGGCGATACGACTCATCCACGCCGATTTGGAGCTGCGAGACAGCTTAGGAGTAAGAACAGAGGCGCAAGAAACGATCGATCGCAAGAATAGCATGCCCCGCGCCTCGATCGATCGAGCTCGGCGCGGATCGCGCGCCTCCCTCGACCGAGAGCGCCCATGGCGCAAATTATTTCCAAACTAAAAACCCTGGCTATGGAGGGAGATTTTGACTCACTGTTTCGTCCGGGGATGAGATTCGAACGCTGAGCGCCTGGAGCTGTGGTATGCTCTCGGGAATCTGGCGAGAGGCGAGGAAGATCGAGTGGTGGAGGAAGATAATCTCGCGGTATCGAGCGAATGCGCTGCTCAGCGTCGCGATCGAGTCCGGCGACGAGCGCAGCGTGAAATTCTCGGCCAATGCCAGGGACCCCGAGCCACTGGCGAGGAGTGAGTGGGGCTTGGGCCACACCGGGATCTCTTTCTCCTCCGCGAAGCCATGAATCCCGGAAGAAGCTCCGCCCAGAGCGACTGGGAGGAAAACGAGGATGGAGATTGCGACGAGCATTGGGGATAAATGTCTGAGCATCGCGAGCGCTAGGAGCATTGAATTCCCAGGATTGAGTGGAACGGATCAAGGAGGATTGAGCGATCGCTGGAATTTAAGAAAGGAAAAATCCCAAGGGAGAAAGAGGAAGGCTCCAATTCTTTGCTCGCTATCATCGATTAGGTGAGGGAGAGATATTTTTTTTCTAATCGATCATGCCAGGAGTAGCTTTCGGCAAAAGAGGCGATCACTCCAAATGTGGATCCAGAACGAGCCCCCCTTTTCTCTCTCTCTCGCCCTCTCCTTTTTAATCACACACCTTCTCTCCTGGCTGATCGCGAATAATGCTCGGCGCTGGCCTGCCAATGGAAAGCGGCCTTTTCCACCATTTTTTTCTACGTACAATTCGCCAAAGGTTTTCAATAATGATAATGCTTGTCGTCCAAAGCCAAATATTTTGTCGTCCAAAGATATATTTTAGGGTTTGTGCACGTTGTTTAGGGTTAGAATTTTTTTTACCACCTTTGACCCTTGACTGTTTCGTGGCGCGCATGCAAGAGCTGACTCCTCGTGTATAAATCTCACTGTTGTGTGCTCTTAGATGTTCATTAGATCTTCCTTGAAAGAGTTTTCATTTGATTGACGATCATAGCATAGCTTTGTGTTTGTGTGACAATGGCAGGAAAAATGGTGCTCGTTCTTGTCGCGATCGCTGTGGTGGGATCGATGATCACGGCCAATGCAAGCTACTTCGATGCTTGGGCAGGGCCCGGGTGTAACAATCGGCTGGAGCGCTACAGTGCTTGTGGATGCACCAATGTTGGAGCCTCGCAGCACGGCGGCTACAGCTTTGCGTACCAGGGCCAGACTGCTGCGGCCTACAACACGGCAAACTGCCAAGGTGTGGCACACACACGGTTTAGTGGCTCTGTACAGGACTGCTCGGGCTTTGGATGGAACAGCTTCTTCATCCAGTGCTAAAGAGCTCCATGGCTCAAATAAAATTGCCAAATAAAAGAGAAAAATCTTCCTCTATAGTAATTTTAATAGCTCATTAGTTTGGATGTGTAATATTTGTACATGTTATTGGGCTCATTGAGCGCCCACCTTGAGGCATAAGACTACTATGCACTGTATTATTCTATTTTAGATTAGAATTTTGAACTTTTGCTTTGCTTTTGCTTTCTGTAGTTATTTTCTGCCAATTTAAGACAGTTCACATGTTGAAGCAAAATGTCAGATTCATATACATTAGCAATTCTTCTAATGGTGTTTGCAACATTTTTATTAGTCTCTTTGTAGCGACTGGGCTGTACCAATGGCTTTTGCATACTACAGTAAATGGCCATGTTTTACTATACAGGAACACAAACTGCTCGAGCTTTCAACAGACTAAATTGGCAAAAACCTTTCCACACCACACCTGCCTCTCCCAATTACACTCTTATCCAAAATTACTCTGACTTTGAAACGTAATAAGAAGTTTTATGTTATAAGCTTTTTAAAAAAGAAATTTGTGGCCGTGAATGCGATGTCGCACTCGCGATGGACGCGGCAATGCGCTGCAAGCATACTATTCGCAGCGGCGCAGCGGCCAGGCGCTGGGCATGGCAGCCACTGTCGCAGCTCTGAAACATTGCATCGCCAGATCGAGAGATATTGGGAGCGGGAGGAGGATTCACTACGATCTTCGGCAGAGGTCGGCAACTCGGCGCTTTCTCCATCGATCTTGCTGGAGAATATTTTGATCGACTTGTATTTCAAGTGTGGTGGGGGGCTGGGGAGGCTTGGCAGCTCTTCCAAGAAATGCCTCACAGGAATGTCACCTCGTGGACTTTTATGATCCTCGGACGTTTCGAGATCGGCGATCCAGAGGTGGCTTCCGAGCTGTTTACGCAAATGCAGGAGCAGGGTGTTGCTGCTGATGCTCGGTTCCAGAAGAAAACTCCAGGACGAGATCAAAACAGCTAGCAAGTTGACAAGAGCAGATCCCCAGCGCCGATTTGGAGCTGTGAGAGAGCTTAGGAGTAAGAACAAAGGCACAAGAAATGATCGATTGCAAGAATACCATCCCCAGCAGCTCGATCGAGCTCTGTACGAGCATTGGGGATAAATGTCTGAGCATCGCGAGCGCTAGGAGCATTGAATTCCCAGGATTGAGTGGAATGGATCAAGGAGGATTGAGCAATCGCTGGAATTTAAGAAAGGAAAAATCCCAAGGGAGAAAGAGGAAGGCTCCAATTCTTTGCTCACTATCATTGATTCGGTGAGGGAGAGATTTTTTTTTTCTAATTGATCATGCCAGGAGTAGCTTTCGGCAAAAGAGGCAATCACTCCAAATGTGGATCCAGAACAAGCCCCCCGTGTATTTTTTTCTACCACCTTGACCCTTGACTGTTTCGTGGCGCGCATGCAAGAGCTGACTCCTCGTGTATAAATCTCACCGTTGTGAGCTCTTAGATGTTCATTGG